CCGCTCTTTGTATGATAAACCCCGGAGTTCTGGAATTGCATGGGTAGTTGCCCTCTGCACTTTTTCTAGTATGTCCGAGTCACCTTTTAAACAAGGACTTGCAGCCTGAGAGCAGTTCTTTAGCTCAGTTCTCACTAAGGATGTGTATACAGTGGTGAATATGGCAGTATCTGACTTAGTGAATGTCCTTTTTAAATCCCAGAGGGTTAGAAACCCCTTGGCTGCGATCTCCCGGCAATGGGACGTCGTCTTTAGATCATTACTCACTGTCACCCCTAGATCCTTATGAGACCGGACTACTGGTAATGACACATCCCCTATGTTGTACTTATTAACCTTTGAATCCCCAAGTGCATGTAGACACACTTTTCCGAGTTGACAGGCATCAGCCACTCTTTAGACCAGTTTATCATATTATTTAAGTCTGCATGAAGAGTAAATGCGTCTTTGTCGCATGCTATTACTCGCCAAATTTTTACATCGTCAGCGTATAATAACATTGGAGACTGTACTATACTTGTAAGATCATTAACGTACATTATAAAAAGTTAAGGACCCAGGACGGGACCTTAGGGTACTCCACTAATTACTGGTCTCTAGATGGAGAACTTGGAATTTATTTTTACTTTTTGCCTACGACCTACTAGGAAATTTTTAATCCATTTTAAAAGAGGTCCGGAATTACAAAGGTTTCTCAACTTCAGTAGCAGTCTATTAGTTGGCACCTTGTTAAAAGCCTTACTAAAATCTATGTAGACAACATCCACTGAGTTTCCGTTGTCTAGCGCATTAATCCAGAACTCTCTAGCTATAAGGAGGTTCGTTGTACAGGATAGACCCTTTCTAAAACCATGTTGTGCCATGTTCAACAAGTTATTGGTTTCCATAAATGCCGTTATGGTCCGTTTGATTATTCTTTCCAGTATTTTAATTACAACACTGGTGAGGCTTACGGGTCTGTAATTCGATGGAACTAGTCGTGGACCTGTTTAATGTAGGGGAGTGACGATTGCGTCCTTCCAGTCCATAGGTAACACACCTTGGTCAAGTGACATTTTGAATATCACAATCAGTGGGGCTGCGATATATTGGGCTATATGTCTCAAGATTTTAGGGTGTAGTTCATCTGGTCCTGTTGACTTCTCTATGTTTAGGGTGCTAAGAGCCTTAAGCACATCGTTTTGGTCGAAGTCCACGGTGAGCAGCTGGTTTATTGACTCTGTAATTGGGTCTGGTTCTTTCTCTAGAGGAGGTTCCTGAGTGAAAACTGCCCCAAAATAGTCAGCCATAACCTCAGCTTTTTCCTGATCTTCCTCTATCATTTCAGATTCACTTCCTACTTTAATTAGGTTGGAAATCCAATGATGCATCCTTGTTCTGTAGTTTATGTACGAGTATATTCTCTTGGGCTGCTTGAGTGCAGATTGTGCCAGCTGCATTTCATATTTTCTTTGCACTTCCTGAATTTTTATTATACACTCATTTCTTATCGATCTATAGCGCTCCATCGTACCTGCTGTGCCAAGGCGGATGGCAACGTCCCAGCATTTCTTCTTTTGTCTCAGTAAACGTCGAATATCCCTCCCTATCCAAGGATGTCCACGCTTCTTTTCTTTGGGACAGTCCAGAGTAAGTATGGTTGAGTTACCCGATTGTATAACTGCCTGAATAGAGTCCATGCCTCTTGTACTGATGCCTTTGAGTCAATTTCCCAGTTTTCAGCCGATGCTGCGGAGTTAATTGCCTGCATATCTGCCTTCCATATTTTGGGACGGGCCGGTGCAACTGTTTGACAGGCAATCTCAGCCGTGAATTTGAATAAGATGAGTGCATGGTCACTTCTCTCAAGTGGTTGGAGAAAAGCCAATTGACCAACATCATCACCGTGTGTGAAAACTAAATCTAAAAGAGAGGAAGTGTTTCTTAAGTCGTATCTTGTGGGATCTCTAATGTGTTGGAATAATGCTAATCCAATCGAAGTTTCTAACAGTTTGCAGTTGAACGACGATATGGATGACCCTACTTCTAAGTTAACCCAGTTTATATGTGGTGCATTAAAGTTGACTACTACAAGACTTTTACCGTTTTTACACCAGGACTTAAGTTTACTTAGGATAAATTCATCTGCTACACATTCTGGACTGCGATATACTACAACTAATTCAATATCTTGCCTTCGGCATTTCAACTTACATCTCACCAGTTCTCATGTCCCTGAAACGTGTGCTACTGTCTCAGCTAATCTTATGTTTAGGGTACTTCTCTTGTACAGAATAACCCCGTCTAACCTTCGGTTTAAGCTATCAGCCATACTGGTTATGAAACCAGTCAACTGGATTTCACTGTCTAATACTTCTGACGTTAACCAAGTTTCCGAGACAGCAATAACGTCTAGATTTTCTTTATCCATCACTGACTTGAGCTCCGCCATTTTATTTAGTAGGCTGCGAGCATTTGTGTAGCATACCTTTAAGTCTGTGGAGAGCTTTCCCTTGCCACCCAGAGTGGCTTGGGGATCGTTTCGCTCTGAACTTTTACAACTTGAAAACCCTTAAGAACAAGGTTTCGTTCCCCGTTTTGGCGACGTTCATTTATCTCAGCTTCTGAAGCTCGTCTCTTAATACGATCTGCTAGGCTGAGATCCTCACGGACATATATTCCGGATCCTATCAGTTTACGTGAATTACTTAGAATCAAGTTCCTTTCTTCCACCATGTTGAATGTAATCTTCAGGAGGCGGTTTTTCGGAGGACTTTCGGAATCCACCTTTTTTCCTATTCTATAAAGCTTACAAATACTAACTCCTGAAACTGTATCTGGGAGGACTTTATTTATTGATGTCTTAATATGATTGAGATCGTGTTCAAATCTTGCCTTTGGTTCTGTATTTGAAGATTCTCTTATCTTATGAAAAATGACTGATCTCTCAGAGATCTGTCTTGTCACGCAGTGAGGATTTTTCTTTTGATAACATCCCTTCCAATGCCTTGCTGACCAGCTGCGTTTTGCCCACAGCCTTTTTCTTCCCAATTCTTCTTCTCCTTACTGAAGTCCATTTGTCACCACTCAGGACAGCCACACCTGGACTATGAGGAACGCCGACAGTTTTATCCGGATCTTCTATTTCGACTAGAGGTGTATGACTGTCGATGTCCATATCAAGCGACACTTCATTCCTCGTTAATGTCAACGGAGATTTCACGTTCCCGTCAACCGCAGTCAGGTGTTTAACGGGTCCAGTAGCAGTACTTACTACACTGACACATTCATCTCCGTCAGTGCTCTTGATATCATTGCTTCCGTCATCGTTTTTCTTGCAGGCCAAAGCCAATAGACCCATAGCCTCCTGAATTAGTACCTTTTTATCCGTACAGCAGAACATACAAAGCCAATGCGAGTTAGGCTTCGAGCATCTTTTGTATGTCATCGGACTTAGGCGTGTACACATTTTGTGGCACCACTTTTTACAGTCATCACGCTGCATTCCCTCCTCAACGGGGAACAAACAATTTGGTTGCCCACATTTGTGAGTCTTACCAACCATTGCAATTAAATTTAAAAGGTTTAAAAACACACAATGATCACAATGTGAACACAAATGTTAGTCTAGGAGTAAAGAAGGTACCTAGGACAAAATTTGGCAGGAAAATTTCAAACTTTAACCAAAGTACTTTTAGTTAAAGTAGACCAAGAATACGTTTTGGTGCAATAAGTATCCAAAGCAAGTATAATCACAACAAGTACAAAAAGCAATTCCTTTTTTTGCAACGAGCGCGCAATTATGTCCAGAAGAATTTAAACGTTTTATTCGGCCGGGTAGTCGAATCAAACTTAGCAACGTCATAGACTTGGAAGAGGTTTTAAAATACAAAACTTCGGAGTTTAAGAGACAGTATATCATAAATGTATTGGAAAGTGTATAATTCATATTAATTCTCGCGCGCTCAATCTACGAGCAACTACCTTGGATCTGATTGGCCTCCTCAAACTTTTCTGAAGGACGGTAATGCATCATTTATGTTGGGTTTTTTTGTTGTTGTGATCATGAGAATTTGGTAGTCTTGAGTATTCAGGTTCTCATATGAAAGTTCAAGAAATTTCCTAGTTAGGACTAGGAACTAAACCTTATGCTTTGCAAAACACCTATTTTGCACTATATGACGGATTATGAGGCAAATTACTTAGATCTTATTGTTTATTACATAGTTTAGTATGGCGTCCTTTACTTTCAGAAATTTTATGACGACAGTTACATATACAGCATCGTTATGCATAAAAGACGTTAATGTCCTTTAATTTCGAACAGAAATAAGTTTGTGACGTCACTAGTCTTCAGTAATAAGGATAGTAAAAACAAACTAGTGAGAACAAATCATAATTTATATCTATTTTTGAATTCATTCCAGCTAGTATTAGACAGTTAGTAAATCCCACGGTTGTTTATTGGTTGCTAAAGTGAGGATAGAACACTTAGACATACTTCCATTGTCATTTATATTTATTCAGATGTGTTTTGTTGACAGAATCCCGGATGGCTGTTAGTCTCCCAAGCATGTTTTTCTATGCATATAATCTCAAGAATTGTACACGTTGGTGATGAGATTATAATTGATAGCTGATCGACTCTTGCTTATATAGGCGAATAAGTTACAGATATGTCTTAATCTCCTTATTTTGGGAAAATATTGAGAGGTCCCTAACATTTTGGGGGACTTCCCCATATCTGGGAAAATTTCGGGGTTTTTGTGCAATTTCCCCGAAATTTTCTATAGCGTCTTCCCCCGAAATTGGGAGATTAGGTTGCGCTCATGTTACCTTGTGACTATATTTACGAGTGGTAGATATTTATCAGACATATAACGCAGGAGCATTTACATACTACTAATGCATTGTAAAAAATTATGATAGCTGATTGCAATCGAAGTTGATTAGCCATTTCGATCGATTAAATTAGTTATTCAAGTGTGAATACTAATCGACATTAATATAAAGCAGCGAATGTTCTCAGTAACTGACAAACATATGCGGTAGGGTAATATGAAAAAGTTTAACTTGTGCAGCCAACCAGACAATCCTGGTTTCTCCCAAATTGTCTAAGCAGAGGTCCTCTGAACTGTTTTCAGACGAGTCAGGTTTTCACTTTTTTATTTCAATCCTTTTCTTCAAACCATGTTCGTGATGTTAAGTTTTGGTATCGTTAATACTAATATTATGTCAAATTATTTGTCATTTACCTTGCTAATTTCATCTGTCTTTGCTAAAGTGATGTAGCAGTTCAGGTCAGTGTATATTTATTCGTAGTCATACGTTGATTATGACTCACTAGGTTGTTTCATTTCTATGCAAATACGTACTAATCGCACGTAATTTATCAGTGATCATTCAGTGTAATTTTTTCTGTCCTACAGGACAGGTTGTTTTATGACATGAGGTGATGTCAACTCAAATTATGAGTAGCATTGGTACCCTCAAGAATCCAAATACGTCTCGCCAACGAGTAACAACTAGCACAAAATCCAAGTTTAGGACTTCTTGCTAATGACCTCGAATCGTTTAATAATAGCTTGTAGCCGTCTGCTTTTTCTTAGTGCACGTTTACATTGTTCAACTTTCTACAGAAATGGTAAAATCATATAGTTAATTTTATTTAGACGAAATATTTCGTTAAGTCAAACTTTTTGCTTTATGTTTCCTGAGCTTCAGCTAAGCAGACTTTAGTGATATTAGTGTTACCACATAGTTTACGAGTTTATTTTAAACTTCTAATTTAGATGGATATTGCTGAAATCTTACTCTCACAATTTCCTAATCCTCAACATCCTTATGTTGCTAAAAATGGTGCCTGTACATGGAAAGCCTGCCAAAAGTGGGATCTGCATTATCTATCAGGGAAAATAAAAAGTAACTTGAAATTTCGTCTGGCCAAAAAAGAAAGTACCAAAGTACAGTGGGAGACATATTGTCCGTCTGTTAATGCAACATTAGCAGAATTTAATGAATGGATAAATGGAGTAGACAATACGAATAATCCTTTCTCTAAGTACCCTAAAGAATCTTGGTGGGCTTATGCGGATTACATATATATGAATCAGTCACCTGATTTTCAAGGTTTAGTTGAAGATTTATCGTTCCAAGAATTGTTTCCGTTTCTAAAAAGTAATATCAGTCCAACATTTTGGCTTGGATCGTCTAAAGCTCATACTATTTGTCATCGAGATACTTACGGAGTTAATCTGGTAGTACAAATCAAAGGGTCCAAACGCTGGATATTATTTCCACCTTCGGATAGCCCACATATGTATGAAACTCGATTACCTTTAGAAGAATCTACTGTTTTTAGCAAAGTTAATTTCACATTACCTAACTGCAAAAAACATCCTCTCTTATTAAAAACAACTCCCTATCCTGTAACACTTTATCCAGGAGATATTCTTTTTGTCCCAAGAAATTGGTGGCATTTTGTTGAATCATCATCTGAATATGATTTTACTTGTTCAGTAAACTTATGGATTGACCAACCTTCACTTGATAATAAAGCACGCCTTAGAGAATGTCTCACACAATTAGTCGGCTTCTCTTTGTTATCTAATTATGATCGTAATGATCATAAAGTTTTATTACATCCATCTGAACAAGCAACATATGAAAATGAGTTTTGGTTTAAACAACTATTGGATTATCTACATATACTTTTTCATCAAAACCCAAATGAATCATCTTCCAATGGAGAAGAGAATTTAGAAGAACCTTCAAAACAAGCTAGGTTTTCTAGTATCATCAATTGGACACCTTTAACTTCAGAAAAGCTAGACAGTTTATTTACTATTTCAGAGGAAAATTCTACATCCGATATTGTTAATACTCTTAACTTCGAACAGATTGTAGATGCATTCATGAAACCTGATGTTATTGAATTAGTTGCAAAATACCTTGAAAAAGATGTTGTGAATAAAGATTTGTAAATAGAAGCATTTGCTTAGTTCCTTTCTTTTGTGCTATACCTTTTATTCTCTACTGTTTGTTCATTTCTCATTTATTTTAGGTATATAGTCAGAAAACTACTTCATTGTTGTGCAAATGCAAGCATGTCCATTAAATTCCAAAGATTTGTTAAGATTACGATGTCGATTTCGTACTGGACAGTATACTTTGAGCGATTTAACTTCTGATTCCACCATCAATGAACTACTTCAAACAATTACTTCACTTGTAGGTGTTACACAATCTCGTATATCACTTTATTATGGTTATCCTCCCCAAAAGTTGGATTGTAGCATTTCAAGTCTTGGTAAACGTCTTTGGGAGGTTAGTCGTATAACCTTTAAAAAAATTCATCTATACTAGAAGTGCTTTGGTATATATATATATATATATATATATATATATATATATATATATATATATATATATATATATATATATATAATATCGAGAACGATACCATTACTCTTATTACTATAACTTTTCACTTAACGTGCAAATAACTCGCCCTACTGGCAGATCTATGCACAATCGATGTTTCAAAAGTACGTGTGATCGATTTGAATTCTGCTAGTTTCAAGGGCAGTTATCACTCCTTGATTGCCTATACCTTAGGAGGATAATTACTTCTAAGGCACCTGATCATGCTTTGAGGCATGATCAAAGACCTAGAGACAACTACTTGAGGTCAGCCACATATAACTTTTTTATGGATAGTCATTAATTCACTGCATTTGCACTTTACAAGTCTTATCTTCATCAATCATCTGTTTTATTTTTGGAATCGACCTTTTCTAACCCCTCCCTCCACTTACATGTAGTGTGTATACTTTCTTTTCGTGGCATTTGTGTCTCTTACAAGTTCGTACACTATTTCGCAACTCGAACTTCAGTACAGTTAGTTGGAGTTTTATCCTCTTCTCCCTTGTCCGCTAACTAAAGTAAGAAGTCTAATTTTTATAGAAACTCTTGATTAAGGTTTTGTGTAATAAAATGGCATTATTTATTTAGACACATAAACATTGGTACAAGAAGGCACTAAATTGATATTCACCTCATAAATCATCCGATTTCTGTGAGAGCTAAAATACTGCCCGAGTGCTCAAACCGAAGCACATGATTTTCTCAGGCGGCCACACCCGAATCCTTCGATCTAAAGGTCTAATCCATAAAGCAGTGGAGCAACTTCAGGAGATGCAGTCCCATAGTAACCGGTGACCGACGATTGGTTCATACGCCTTTTATTCCTTCAGGATCCTGGAGCCCATGTACACCACTAGTTTGGAATGAGTGTTTTCTAACTCCCCTAGGTGGAGTCTACGTGTCCACCTACCCGGTTCAAGCTCCGGACATTTGCTTTTCGTCTTCTGAGTTTCGTAAAGAACAGTAATGCTGCGAGAAGGGAGTGAGTAAGACTTCGCTGGTAGTGGTTGTATTCACGTGACTATGTGAGAGCATTTGAAGAGGGAGACCTGACTCTCCCCACTCTTAGCCGTACCAGGGTATTTGGGGGCAATAAAAGGGCATTCTTATATACAAGTGTCGGCACATAATAAAATCTCATAAGCAATCGGGGGAAATTAGTTTGTAGATTTTTCACTCTCATATCCCCAAGTAATAATGAAAATATTCATATCCAACAGTACCCACTTTTCAGTATCTCACTTAATGTCATTTTTTGTTAAAAAGAGAACTACTTTTTAATGAAATTTAACTATATAATGAAATTATTCAGGATAGTTTTTAGTAAGAAAAGTAAACATAAGTCTCAAACCAGTGTCTTCAATGTTACTTCCCTTTTTGGTCTGACTTTTATGTTTTACACTCTTGATTATCAGTCATTGTTTTGACTGTTTGGAATCATCATTCCCCCTTCACATGCACGTATATATCACGGTAATGCATATATTTGTGCAAAATTGTCGATACACTTAATGCACTATAATCTAGTCTATTAATAAAAATCGTCTTATTTTTAAAAATGATATATGAATATGCAGATCCCTCTTCGTTCGGGTGACATGCTTACTGTTGATGTAACGGAAGAAAAACCAGCAAATATCAACTCACAAACTGTAAAGCATCAACCTCATGAACATGAAATAATCACTAATAAACAATCTGAATCACATATTGTCCGATTATCTGCACCATCTGATAATTCTTGTCTATTTACAAGTGTTCTTTTCTGTATGAATAATGAAGACAATCATTTAAAGATTGGTACAGAAGTTGTAACAAATATTGCTGAAGTCAGTAATTTAAGGGAATTAATTTCCGGTATTGTGTTAAGCGATCCAGCCAAGTATTCTGAAGCATTCCTCGGGATGTCAAATGAACAGTATTCACTTCAAATTAGACAAGTAAGCAAATGATGATGTTTGTTTTGTGAGTGCTTTGCTTATTCCCTTTTTTGTCTTCTATACGAAAAGTTGTGGAGCGACGACACACTGAATAAATCACTTAGTTTCGAACTAGTAGGCTACAAGCCTTATTCATTATCCCGCCTAACGTAGTATGGGGAGAGCTAGGTAGTATCGCTAGCTCCCTCACCTCCTCGTGCGATGTTGACTGGTATAAGAGTACTGTAGAAGAAAGCTAGGGTGATCAAACCCAAACGTAGCATTAGTCTACAAAGTCATTGATAATCGGAATGAACCATGTGGGTAATTTCAAACTGCGTAGTTGAGCCCACACCATTATCGTAACGAATGATTAAGGACTTTAAGTAATGTGGCTTAAAATTGTTCACAATGGTTCAGGTGCATTCACTTTTTCTTTTCTTTTAGGTCTTGAGTCCCAAAATCTTATACTTTCCATAACTAATATTTTTCTACTACCACTAATACTATTATTACTTCTGGTGTTGTGAGATTTGCCGCTATAATTTTATCTAGCTGTGTGAATGCAAAGTAGCAACTTGAACCGATGTGCTCAATTTTATTTTGGATATGAATAACTGAAAAACCGCTGACACCGTTAAAATTTGACTCAAAGGTGTTTTACATACGCTTGTCCTTGTTAAATGAATTAAATTACATTTAATAATTGTATTAACTAATAACCATTGTGGTAAAAGAAAGGTGCATCGTAATTTGTGACAAGAAGGGGAGTTTTCTCTTAACCACTTTCTCCATTTTTGTTTAACTTCATCATAGACCTATTGATGGAAATAACATCCTCGTCTATTAAATTCTCGGGTATTGATCTCCTTCCATGAGGTCCACGTATCGACTTTGAATACAAAAATGATGTAGTCCTGTTTGGTGAAGACGCTGATAAAATGCATAGTCTTTTGGTAGCACTAAGCAACAATGCCAGAATGTTTGGAATGCGCTTCTCTCCCTCTAAATGCGAGTTGTTGCTTCAGGACTGGTTTGCGTCAACACCTGAACTAAAGATACGGAGTGAAGTAGTCGAACGCGTTGACAACTTCACTTATTTTGGAAGTCTGATCAACCCAAATGGGGTGGTGTCTGACGAAATCTCAGCACGGATTCGAAAAGCTCGTTTGGCTTTCGCCAACTTACGTCACCTATGGCGAGGGCGAGATATCCGTCTATCAATTAAGGGACGAGTATACTGCGCGACAGTCCGTTCTGTTCTACTTTACGGCTGCGAAGCATGGCCATTAAGTGTAAAAGATACTCGTAAGCTACTAGTATTTGACCACAGATGCCTTGGAAATATTGCTGGCGTCTGCTGGGATCACCGGGTAAGTAATAGTGAGGTTAGACGCAGGGTATTAGGGAATGTTGGTAAATCAGTTGATGAGGTTGTAAATCTTCATCAAATGAGATGGTTGGACCACGTGTTACGTATGCCTGAACACCGATTACCACGACGTGCAATGCTAACCGGTGTTGGAGATGGTTGGAAGAAAGTTAGATGAAGCCAAACGAAAACATGGCATCAATTGCTTGAAGTCACTAACTTCTAGTCTGAGCGATGTTGGTAGATGCAGACTATTTGGTTGGGGTCCGCGTGACTATCGTAACCAATGGTTGTAGACTTTGGGTGACATGGCTCAGAATCGATCACAATGGCGCCGGTGTATACACTCCGCGTCTCGCGTTGAACCGTGAGACTAAAATTGCTTTATATCTTTCTTTCTACAAAATGTTTCCTTCTTCCTGTACTATATCATTATTGCAATCTTTCTTTTATATATTACGACCTCTGAATTAACTACTTTTATGAATCCAGTGTTCATCTTGTTGTGTTAATGAGGTATGTTAACTTGGACCGATGCATACGTGTGTCTGGTCCTACGTTGTAGCTGACTGACTTTCTTTGAACCTGAGTTTTATACTACGCAGTCATATACGAGTTGAATGAATGACGCTGAATTATCTGATTATCGTCACCGTCAATATTACTTTAAAATGTAGTTTTAAAATGCGTCTGGGTACTTGTATTCGCATTCACTTTTTGTATTGAAAAAATATTTAATACATAAGGAAGTTAGTCGTGGTTTTAGTATCGTGGAGAAGATAAGTCTACGTATAACAAAGTTTATAATACGTTTACTAAAAAATGGGACACCTTTGATACTGTTTAGAAGTTGTTCGGTCTTAGAAGTTTGGGACATACATTAGATTGATAAGAGGAATTCTACTGTATTTTTGTCAAACGTAGTCTCTTCAAGTTCCAAACGTTCATTCATCATTAACTTTAAGAAGGTTTCTGAGATATGACGAAAACACTTTGTAATCAATACTATGGTCTTTCAAGATGTCAGTCAGTCAGTAACAACGTAGAACTTCGTACGTACGTACATCAGTTCGAGTTGCCACACCACATTAGCACAGAGATGCAGTGGTCGATTCAAATCCTGTAGTGGTATAGGTAATATGGGTATAAGTAGTAATCGGGAAGATTAGTGTTTGGAGATGCTATTTAAAGAGTATAATACAGTGAAATAAATTTGGGAAGAGGAAAAAAAAGAGACAAGGAGTTATAAGGAGATCAAAATTTGGGAGAGCTTAAAGATGTATTCTTAGTCATAGTGGGAATGGACGTAAAAAGCAATATCAAAGTGTTGATCAATATATATATATATATATATATATATATATATATATATATATATATATATATATATATATATATATATATATATATATATATATATATATATTAAAAATAGTTACCGTATTTCTTCTTGTGAACTATACCTTAATTGATCATGTGATAGTAATTTCTATATTTTGTAAGTACCATCATATGACATCGTTCCACTTATACCATATGTTAGCTACACATTATACTACTAGCATCTTTACCCTCCTTTCTCAAGATCACTATTCAACTGAAAATCTTATTTATATTCCTTATATAGTAGCTCAATCGATTTTTGTTTATTAATGAGTTTAATAACAATTTGTGGTGATATTTCTATTTGTTGTTATATTTTTAAGTAACCTTAAGTTAGTTTATGATTTTGTTAATCCATACTTAAATAACTGGCTTTCTGTATTTTGCACGGTTTATCTTGATAAATAATATGTTATTTAATTATTTGAACACATAGATATTGGTACAGGGAGGCACTAGATACATATGTGAGAAGGCAGTGAGTAGGACTTTCTTAGCAGACGCTATATACGCGTGGTCATATTAGAGCATTTGGAGAGGGAGAGTTGACTCTCCCCACTCTCAGTCGTACCAGGGCATTTGGGGGTATTATTATAGTTCAACTGTTAGCTTATTTGCATCTGTCCAACCGATTTTCGGCTATCTAATAACAATAGGATGTAGATATTTTCTGACTGATTTAACAAAATAATCACAGCGTACTGGATAATTTCTATTATTGAATTGTTGAGTGTTTGATCTGTGTGTGTTTAATTCAAGATACTAATGATTCTTAAATTTTCTATGCTGTGATATATTGAAGATGATAGGATACTTCATGTATATACCTAACTAAGGAGATAAAAACCCAGCCAGTTGATTGTCCAACTGTCGATGTTGACGCTTGCAAATCTGTTCAGTAGTAGTTGTTTTAGGACAAAGTCAAAAATAAAAGTATAGTCTAGGAATTCGCATTGAACATACTTCTTACCCTTTCCCAAACTGAACACTATCATAATGCAGAACAATAACAGCATATAAAATACCTCTTTTGTGTTTGTAAGCAAACCAATGTAGATTCATATATTCTTTTAGCGCAGGTTGAATTGAAAGTAGCAATAGTTTTTCCACTATTTTGAGAAAAGGTGAAAAGGTTATTGCTATGGATCTAAATTGTACATGCTTATCAGCAGATACTTTCTTAGGTATCAGGATGATCTTAATCGTTCTCTACATTTTTGGTATAAGATTAGTTGAGAAATGTTCGTTAAAGATGCTCGTGAATGGAGGACAAAACGTCAGCACATTTCTTAAAACGGAGGTTTTGGATTTCTTCAGGCCCCGAACAATTGAACGAGTTAATTGGCTGGGGTTCTTTTTGGACATCAGATTCAGTGAAAATTGGAAGAGTCAGTCACTCAGCGACGTAGAACTTCGTACGTACGTACGTACATCAGTTCGAGTCGCCATACCACATTACCACACAGATACAACTGTCGATTCAAATCCCATAGTGGTACAGGTAGTAAAAGTATAAGTAGTGATCGGAAAGATTAGAGTTAGAAAATGTTATTCAAGGAGTATAATCCAGTGAAATAAGTTTGGAAAGAGAAAAAATGGGACATGAAAAATTCAGAAGATTAAAACATAGATGCACCTGCTCCATTGCAAACGATTTTGATCTATGTCATTCAAGGTCTCTAACCATCGGTTAGTACCGTCTATCGGATCCCAACTAGGTAGTCTGCACTTACCAACATGGTTCAGTCCACTTGTCAGTGACTTCATGGACTTGTGCCATGTTTGGGTCTGGCCACCCCTACCTTTCTTCCAACCTACTCCTATACCACTGAACATCGCACGTCGAAGCAGTCGGTGGTTGGGCATACGTAACACGTACCCCAGCCATCTCAACGGATGAAGTTTCACTACGTCATCAATTGATTTGTCATCCTTACCTAGTACCCATTTCCTAACAACTGCATTACTTAATCGATGGTCCCAGGATATACGAGCAATATTTCGAAGACACCTATGATAAAATACTAGTAACCTACAGATATCCTGTACTCTTACCGGCCATGTTTCACTTCCATAAAGTAGGACGGAACGAACTGCTGTGCAGTAAACTCGTCCTTTGGTTGATAGACGGATATCTCGCCTACTCCGTAAATGACGCAAGTTGGCAAAACCTAGTCGAGCCTTCTGTATCCGTGCTGAGATTTTGTAGCACACCAGACCACAAGAGCTGATGAGACTTCCCAGATAAATGAAGCAGTCGACACGCTCAACTACACGCCTATTCTTCAAACCTGTGTATATAGGAAGCATGATATCACATGGTTGATATACAAAAAACATATTTGGGTCACAAGCATTCATTAACTAAGCAATGCTAACTTTATTTATTTAGCAATTAATGGTGATTATAAATAATTTATTTATGCGTTACATAATTCTAATCACAACCTGTCTAAATGTACTCCAAAGGCTTTGGTTACGAATAAGTTCGGAGAATTGCTAAGATTGGCTAAACGATATATAAAGTAATCATATATTAATAGTGTGATTCTTGCCAGTTAGCTTTAGGATTGTGATCGTACCTCGATGGATCGACTACTTCGCTTGGGGTCCATTGGTATATTGACGTAATAATGAAACTAACCTATCAAGAGAAGGTAGTTAAAATGACAACTTAGTTGTGTGTCCATACCGGTTTTCACTAGTGAGGGAATCTTATAACATATAGGCTCATTATGTGTAGATCCATGTACATAGCTTCTGGTTACATTCTAAGTGAGAATTTATGACAACTCCCGCCCTCTCAAACCAAAGTAGGCGAAGTGGAGTTCGAACCCCAGCCCTGTTGTCTGAAAGTTGGACAGCTTAACCACTGAGCCACTGTTCCACAATAATGGCTTTCAGTACTGTATTCAGGACATGCTTTTACATCCAGATAGTGAGTTCTGGGTAGAAAATAATGCACCTCGAGTCCTCGGTCTGACACGTTATCTTCCACTACTAAATCTATGATCACAAAGATTGTTAAGGGATTACATACAGGTACATACCTTATTATAATCGTGGAAAAACAAAAAACTTCAGGGAAAAGAAAAGCAAATGATGATTTCAACAGTCGAATTCATTAGTTGATCTAAGCTACCATGGAAAACCTAGAAGCACTAGATGGCCGTTTTGTCCCAGTATGGAACTCAATAGTACTCATCCATGATCTTGCATGCGAGACTGAAACCCCGGACCTTGGTCTCGCATGTGAACTCTTTATCTTCCCATACTGACAAATGGTAATTCTTTAGTTGGATAGATTGTGTCAATTAACTCAATGTCCAAATGGTACTCATCATGGATTGATATGAATCACTATCTCTTAGTTTTAAATTCTACAAAAATCATACCTTAGAACCATTGAAATCTTTCAGTCATCATTTTCCCTTTAAGTCAGTCAGTCATCTACAACGTAGGTCCAAGTTGCCATACCTTGTTAGCACAGCAAGACAAACACCAAATTCATAGAAGTAGTTAATTCAATGGTGTTACTATATAAAAGGAAGATTGCATATAAGGATATAGTACAGGAAGAAAGAATTAGTTTATAGAAAGAAAGATATAAAGCAATTTTAGTCTCACGGTTCAAGGCAAGACGCGGAGTGTATACACCGACGCGATTGTGATAGATTGTGACCCATGTCACCAACAGTCTCCAACCATTGGTTACGATAGTCACGCGGACCCAAACCAAGTAACCTGTATCTACCAACATGGCTCAGACTAGAAGTTAGTGACTTCAAGCAATGATGCTACATTTTGATTTGGCCGCCCCTAACTTTCCTCCAACTATCCCCAACACTAGTCAGCATTGCACGTCGTGGTAATCGATTTTCTGGCATACGTAATCACCTCAGAGTCTCAGAATTGTAAACATGTACTGCAGTTTCATCTTTAAATAATACAATGCATTCACCTAATAGTGATTGCAGTACTCTTCTCTCTCTCGCTATTTTTCTTGTCATTTCAGTCAGATAAATGGGGTGGAGGTATTGAAGTATCAATTTTATCACAATTATATAAAATTGAAATATGTATTGTAGACATTGAATCATGTCGAATTGATCGTTTTGGTGAAGATCAAAATTATCCTAAAAGAATTTTATTAATTTATGATGGTATACATTATGATCCATTAGCACAAGAATGTCCAAATCGTAATTGTCTAGTAACTGTATTTTCATCAAATAATGATTCAGTATGTGTGTGTGTTACATTTTATTCTAATCAATATATTCATATTCATATTATTATTATTTCAACACATAGATATTGGTACAAGGAGGCACCAAATACATATGCGCCACACAAATCTCATTGGATATGTGTGAGGGCCGTGATACTGCTCGGGTGCCCAAACCGAAACAGGTGGTTTTCTTAGGGGGCCACACTCGGAGCCTTCGACCTGAAGGTCTAATCCACAAGGCAGTGGAGCATCGTAAGGAGATGTAGCCCCATGGAAGCCGGTGACCAACAATTGGTTCATACGCCATTTGTTCCCTTAGGATCCTGGAGCCTAATTGCACGATTGGTTTGGAATAAGGGTTTCCCAACTCCCCTATGTGAACTATCCGTGTTCACCAACCCGGTTCAAGCTTCGAACATCCACTTTTCGTCCTCTCAATTTCGTAAACAACGCCCGTGGTGCGAGTGGGTAGTGAGTAAGACTTCCCTAACTGATTGTGTGCACGTGGCTTTGTGAGAGCACTTGGAGAGGGAGAGTTGACTATATTGAAGTTACGTAGGAATGATTAATTCATTCATAAGTTCATAAAATGTTATCTTCTCAGATAGTTCAAATAAATCTTACACGTTTTCTCCCACTAACCTACCTTATCAATGAAATTTAATTCATAATTACGTAACTCATTATCGAGTACAGGTATTTGTAGTTGTCTTCGATTTACAGTGTTTGAGAATACTAATTGGTGACACCTGTCACCGTTGCCCAAAGTGAAATAAAGATAGTAGTACAAGTAGGGTTCAACTAAGTGATTAAATATTAGAAATATTCCCTACCACTAAACCATTACTTAACAACATATCGATCTAGTCACAATGTTGATCATTAGTCACATGTGACCCAATTCGGCGTTAAACTTTGTTAACTTTAGCTAAAAGAGAAGATAATCGATAAATGATATGACAGAACATGAATTACGCTTGATAATTATCTATTAATTCTATTGGATAGTGAATAAATGATTTATTGTTGTCTTATTCTCCTACCGTCTACTTGTCAAATATCTTACGCTTATGTCAATAGTCCAATCGTATGCGCAGCTATCACTCACCCATAAATCGTATCATTGCATATAATCTCTCAATTCACATTCTATCCATTCATTTTAACTGTCAAAAATTGTTTGATGAAATCAAGAAATTCTAATCTATAACAATGGGAAAAACTTCTCATTTGGCACTAGTTGACAACACTCTTTGACACAAGATGCATCCATTTTTTAAAATGTTTCTTTTCCATCCTACTAAAAATCAATAATGAACTAACATTTCTTTTAATAAAGATAGATGGTGGCTAGCAGTGGAGTCCAGTATGCGCGTTTCGTCCTATTTGGGACTCGTCAGCCGGATGTACCTGCATCGCAGAGTTGATGTTCACTCCGGGACTCGAACCCAGTGCCATTCGCTTCATACACCATCGCGTTATCCACTTAGTTACTGAGTCCTGATAGCCACCTGTTTGTGCAATGGGGTGAAGTTTTAAATTCAATCGGTGTTGTTTTACTTGTATTTTTCCAAAGCTTGTGACTTAATATTGTATCGAGACAATCCGCACAGGATGCACATATGTCAACATGAAACTGATCATCTGCTGTCCTAAATAACAACAATGGCAAGATACAAGTAAAACAACATCAAGTGAATTTCTTCTAATATAATACAAAATTTTCATTATTCCCCCCCCATTGTTATTTTATTCATAGATTCTTTTTGAAGCTCAACAATTAGCATCAAAAGCTCGTGCTGAATGGGCATTCACTGATCTTTCATCATTTACATTACTTTGTCGACAATGTGATGCACCATTAATTGGTCAAGAAGCTGCACAAAAACATGCTCAATTAACAGGTCATACACAATTTAGAGAAATTTTACATTAAAAATATCAATTTAATTGGAGTATATTCAATTAATATTATTATAATTGCTACATATCTAGACTGTTGCTTTGTTCTTCTCGCCCCCCTCCCTCTCTCCCTTTCTGGTAGTATTACCAATTGAATGTAAAATGAATGATTTCTTTTGCTCAATGTATTCGTTTTAGTTTTCTCTTTGTTTTTTTTTGTCTTATCATAAATGAGTATTGCTAATGTTTGTTTCCTTTTTTTTTCTTTTCTGTTTTTCTTTTGTTTTGTGCAAAAAAACTATATTTTCATTGTATAAATTGTAGGAACTTATTACTTTGTAGAAATGGTATGATTTCAATTGTTTATCCATTCAGTGTTTCTATCTATCTCTGTTAATTAATCTACTTGTAACTTTGACAATACAATCATGAATGTGAATGTTCACATACACACGCATGCGTACATGTGTTTTTACTTTTTAGAATTTTTGGTTACATTATGTACGTTTGAATAATATTTGCTTGAGGTTAGACATTAACACCATTAGATACCGACTTAGTGGTTTAGAGTTTGAGTGTTCGAGACTGAAGGTCCCGGGTTCGAATCCCATGAGCGGGATTGTGAATGTACACCGCTGAGGAGTCTCACAATAGGATGAAATGAGTATCCAGTGCTTCCAAGTTTTCAATCGTGGTCTAACATCAATCGGTTCATGATCTCAATCAGAATACTATTTGTCTTGCTTTATCAATTTGGTTATCGCTTTTTCTTTGTTTAATGACATTTTTAAAGTTGAATGGAATAAAATGCAATTTAAAAAATACTTTAAACTATTTACGTTTCATTGCTACTGATCTGATTATCAGAATACATAGTAAAGAATGTCGAAATCAGTTACAATAGTGCCAGTGTATTCTATATTTATCTTCCTCATGAGCTTGAGACGAATGGCCGAATAATCTCATCTTTTTTCTGGATAGTTGAATATATCTACATCGTGGCGAGTGTTCTCTGATAACTGCCAGAGATGATACTGGCAATATCTAACTTGCTGATCTAAAGTTCACCTCAAAGACTAAAAATCTAGGGTTTGAATTCTTGTGTGGTCGTAGACGCACATCTCAGAAGAGTCACGTATTAGGATAAAACAACCATTCAGTGTTGCTTGATATCTGAGATTCTATACAAATAGCTCATGTACAGAGGTTAATCATTATAATCTGAAATATCTAGTTGGTCACAACTAGGTAATCCTTCATTGCTAGTGTTGTTTCTGTGATTCTTTTAAGAAAAAGGGTTGTAACATCGAAAAATTGACTCATAATGAATACCTGTACAAAGAACCAAGCTGATCTTGGACAGTGAATCACATACCAGGAAAGTAAAATATTTTGTCTTTATAAAGTGAAAAAGCTGGGAAACAAATAGAATTTTGTTTAAAAAGTGTTGATAAGTTTTGAAAATTAGAAATGATCTCACTTATATTATGGTACTTGTTACCTACTGTTAACATTAAATGTCTTGGATTTCACTTGATTTCGGATATACGATACATTGATTCTCGTCCTTATTTAAATCAAGCCAACTTTATTTATTTATTTAAACATGAAAATAAGGAGGCACCAAATAGATATGCGCCATATAAATCATTCAACTTCTGTGAGGGCTAAGATACTGTCTGGGTGCCCAGACCGAAGCAGTTGGTTCTCTTAGGCGGCCAAACCCGGAGCCTTCGACCTAAAGATGTGATCCACAACGCGGCGGAGCAACGTCAGGAGATGCGTTCCCATGATAACCGGTGACCAACAATAAATACATACGCCATTTGTTCCTTCAGGACCCTGTAGCCCATGTACACCACTGGTTTGGAATGAGTGTTTTCTAACTCCCTGTTGTAACTGTGACACGGCAGCAGATTTGAGGGTAGCGAATTATCGATCGGACCAAATACGCGCAAACACGTAGAACGACCTAGGGTTCTGATTGGTCCCGCTCCTCTATCTAGCCCAGTAGTTGAGTCCAGAACGCAAGTCACAGCCTCGGATATATGAATCATTATATTTCAAACATACTTTGTTTATATACTAGTCAATCAGACCACAACGTACCATAAGATAGAAAATAACATTGTACAATATTCACCAGTAGGAAAATAACACGTGAAATAAGTACTGACCGATAAGAAAATCATACCATGTCCAAGTCCAAGAATAGCATTAGACTTAATAGGATAATTTCTGGGATATTTTCCTGAATATCCTAACACTCCCCTAGATGGAGTCTACGTGTCCGCCAACCCGGTTCAAGCTCAGGACATTTGCTTTTCGTCCTTTCAACTTCGTAAACAACACCAGTGGTGCCAAGAGGTAGTGAGTAGGACTTCCGTGGTAGTGACTGTGTGCAAGAGGTCATATGGGAGCATTTGCAGAGTGAGAACTGACTCTCAGCCATATCAGGGCATTTGGAGGCAAGTATCTATTTGATGCTGTCACGACGTTTATCATCTATTTTCGAAGACAAAATCAACTACTTCCTAATTTTAAATACTCCAGAAGTAGAAAACTAATTAGGAGGAAGACTCATTTTTATCATATCTTAATTGAATTCAAAAAGATATTCTAATAGTAATTTCCAGTTGAATTATTAGGACACGCGGCGACAAATATACCTACACTGATGAAATTGGTTTGAGAACCTCTGCTGGAAATCGAATAACTCATAGTGATTCCAGTGATCTTATTGATCAAGGTATTTAGTTTGGTTCAATCAATTATAAAATGTCACTAACTGTTTTAGGGTATTAGTGATTATATAACCCAGAATGATAGTGGAATATTTACACTGACAATACATCCACTTGATAATTAAAAATATAAATAAACCTTATAGATTGCTGAAGGTTTCATGGACCACCAGTTCAAGCCTGAACTCTAAGTGCAAGATCAGTATGACCAACCTCTCATCCATCTTTGAGTTTTCATTCTCTTTTGCAGAATGTTTTGGTCTTGTTTTGTTTGAATTATTGTTTTGTATTGTGATAGATGAATTCATGAGTCAATCTAAACTAAACCATCATTGGAAATACTGTGATTGTAAGATGTAATCAGTTATTAGTATGAGCTTTATGTTTTTCATTTTTCTTGTCCTATCTGTCAAGTGGACAATTATCTTTCGTAATTCAGACATGGAAATTATTTTCATCCTTTTATTCTTCTCTAACCTAATTATTACGCGAATCTTGAATTACTTTACGATGCGATCTCTTCAATATATTTACCAAACAACTATAAATACAGCTTAAGTAAATGATTTTGTCGAAAGAAAATTTTCATCGTAGAAATCTCTTGATTTAACTTTTACATGGATGAACAATGTTTTTTACCACTACTTACGCCTGCTACCCTTCTTAGAGTAGCATGGGTCGCTGATCAGCATTCTACATCCAACTCTGTCCTGGACAATCCTTTCCACTTGCTTTCTGATGTCTGCTTCCAATTATCGGTGCATTGTGTCCTTTGACCTTCCTTTCTTCCGTTTATCTTCAGGATTCCAAGTTATCGCTTACTTCGTGATGCAGTTTGATGATTTCCTTAATGTATATCCTATCCACTTCCAACGTTTTCTCCTAATTTTCACTTCATATGGAAACTGTTTTGTTCAATATCTTCCTTAGGTTAAATTAATTATCCTACTGAAGGTAAAAGTCTCAAGAATTGATCCAGTTTGTAAGTTAATTTACATGAAAAAAAAGAATTTAGTCTGAAAATCAGACAAGACAGTTAGTTTCTCCTATTTCATAACTTCTTTTCAGAGCATACTCATAACTCTATTAATAATAGAACACAGAATCGTCTACGGATCAAAGTATTGCTCCTTTGTCCTGACTCATTTGATTGCATATGAAGCTCACAGTAAGAAATTTGTAGGTCGTGAGTATGTAATCCATTATATCGTTTTTTACTAGAGTCTTGATTGATGTAACTCATGTTTATACACATACATTATAATTTCAAAAGCTGAAGTCATGATTCAACTGAATCTAGAACACCATGGAAAACCTGGAAGCAATGGGCGGCCGTTTCGTCTTAATATGGGACTCCCAAGCAGTGCGTATCCTCGATCCCGCTCCCCGCGGGATTTGAACTTAGGACCTATCAGTCTCGAGCGCATAACCATTAGATCACTGATCTGGCATCCAAGAGGCATTTCCTGGAGTTCTAGTGGGAAGCCGTGACCAGTGGAGTTCAACCACATCTGTTGTGAGATATCAGCTCACTGAAGACAATTGTGTGCGGTAGAGCAATTTCGTGGATTAGTTTAAGTTAGAAATTAACACCGTTTTATACCAGCCGGTTCAGTGATCTAGAGGTTAATCGCTTGCGTTCGAGACTGATACATCCTGGGTTTGAATCTCGCGGTAGGGGTGGGATCGAGGATACGCACTGCTGAGGAGTCCCATATCGAGACGAATCGACCGTCCAGTGCTCCCAGGTTTACCATGGTGGTCTAGCTTCAATTGAATAATGATTCCAGCTATTGAAATTACTAAAATCTCCACAAAACCCCTTCTGACATACATTATAGGTTAATTCAGGATACAAACCTGAATTACTGTAATGCAGCAATAGACTTCATAGTAATTCGTTTTTAAGTTTTTTAAGTTTTGTCTACTTAAATTATTTATCAGTAGCTTACATAAAAAATACGCTTTTATAGATGTTTCACGTAGTCTTACACTTCCGTGATCATATTTATAAAATTGATGAATAACTGTCAATCTATGTTTCCTAATAGTAATTGGACAACTTTCTATATACATGAGAAAAATTTGATTCAACAAAATTAATTTGGGATGTGTTATTTTTTCGTTTTTAATAAAAGTACTTTTACACAAACTCTGCCTGCAGCTCTTCTAGAGTTACTACCGGTCACAAGCCCGAATAAGGGAGGGTTGGGCATGCGGTCAGCAACCCCATCCCGTAGAAAACTAACTCGCTAAAAAACGCTTACCAGAAAAAATAATTCAAACCATTTTAACTCTGCCCTGGGAGGTAGAAGGTCTTCATTTAGAAGAATTATGACGCTTCATGGTGAAAGCCGAGTTCCTTCGGAAGCCACGAGGCCGATGCCCCTTCTAACAACCAGAGCAACAATTAATATAGGTACATGGAACGTCCTGACAATGGGGGAGACCGAGAAGATTAGTCAAATAGCAACGGAAATGAGGAGATACAAATTAGCAGTACTGGGAATCAGCGAAACCCATTGGACCCAAGCTGGACAACAAAGGCTAAATACGAGAGAGATGCTGCTATACTCCAGTCACGAAAAGGAAAATGCTCCACACACTCAGGGAGTTGGTCCAATGCTTTCCAAAGAAGCACGGAATGCACTTGTATGATGAGAATCTCACGGATCCAGAATCATCAAAGCATCATTCAAAACAAAGAAGGAGGGGATCACAATGAATGTTATCCAATGTTATGCAGCCACCAGTGATAACAACGACGACATGAAAGATCAATTCTATGAGGGGCTTCCATCAATCATAGCGAAGTGCCCAAGAAACGACCTCACTACTCTGATAGGAGATCTAAACGCCAAAGTCGGAATAGACAACACTGGATATGAAGATATCATGGGACTACATGAACTGGGAGAGAGAAACGAAAATGGAGAAAGATTCGCAAATCTGTGTGCATTCAACAAATTGGTCATAGGCGGCACACTATTCCCACACTAACTTATACACAAAGCTACATGAATCTCATCGGACTACACCACAGAGAACCACATAGATCATATTTGTATCCATAAAAAATTCCGAAGGACAATGGAAGATGTGTTAACCAGGAGAGGAGCTGATATAGCTTCAGATCACCACCTAGTTGTGGTCAATTTAAAACTGAAGCTAACGAAGAACTGGACAAACAGAACTACAAAGGTTCAATACAAACTTCTTTGAAGATACTGATAAATTCAACAAATTCAAGATAACTCTTAACAACAGGTTTCAAGCCTTACAGGATCTACTGAAGGAAGAAGAAACTACTATGGAGGACAACTGGAAAAGTATCAAAGAAGCATTAAGTTCACAGTGTTAGGAGGTTATGGGCCGCCAGAAGAATCATCATAAGGAATGTATCTCTATAAAAACACTGGACAAGAAGTCAGCAATTAACAACAGCCGAACACGAGCAAAGAAAGTCCAAGCACAAGCTGAGCACGCAGAAGCAAGTGAAGAAGAGCATTAGAACTGACAAGCAGAAATAGGTGGAAGAACTAGCAAGGAGGGCGGAAAAGGCTGCAGGAGGAGGAAATATGAACTCTTGAATGGACCAGCTCCATTGAATCCACCGGCCATCGAAGCGACACACACAGACCTTTATATATAATGCCGACGGACTGAAGAGGACACCTTATCAAGATTCCAAAGAAAGGAGATCTGAGCAAATATGAGAACTACAGAGACATTACACTACTGTCAGTACCAGGAGAAAGTCTTCAAAAGAGTTTCGCTAATCCGAGTGAAAGACGCAGTAGACACCGAACTTCAAGATCAACAAGCTGCATTCCGTAAGAATCGGTCGTTCACAGACCAAATTGTGACACAACGGAAAATCGTCGAACAATCAATTGAGTGCAACTCGTCGCTATACATCAACTTCCTTGATTATGAAGTGTTTAACAGTGTAGACAGGAGAACATTCAGGAAATTTTTTCGACACTCTGGAGTACCTGAGAAAATCGTCGACATTATCCTGAATTCATACGACGGACTACAGTGCAAAGTGGTGCATGGAGGACAGCTGACAGATGCATTCCAAGTAAGGACTGGTGTCAGACAAGTCTGCTTACTCTCACCCTTTGTCTTTCTTCTGGTGATTGACTGGTTTGTGAAGATGTCCACGTCTAAGAGGAAGCTTGGAACACAATGGACAGTTTGGATTCAACTTGATGATCTGAACTTCGCAGATGACCTTGTTCTTTTATCTGATACACACAAGCAAGTGTAGGTCAAGAAAAACAGTGTATCAGCACTCTCTGCATCAGTAGGCCTCAACATACATGAGGGAAAAAGCAAGACTCTCAAATACAACAAGGAGAAGATCAACAAAATCACACTTGATGGCGAAACTCTGGAAGATGTGGAAACATTTACGTACCTGGAGAGCATCATCAATGAAGAAGCAGGTTCGAATGAAGTCATAAAGGTAAGGATTGGAAAAACAAGCACAGCATTCCTACAGTTTAAGAACATATGGAACTCAAAACAACTGTCTATCAGCCAACATCAAAGTCAAGATCCTCAATACGAATATCAAGACCGTTAATTTTACTGTACGGAACTGAAACTTAATGAACTACTACAACCATCATGAAAAATGTACATGTATTTCCAAACATTTGTCAACTCAAGATACTCAATTTCCGTTGTCCGGATACCATCAGGAACAGCCTAATGTGAGAAAGAACGAACCATCATCCAACTGACGAAGAAATTAGGAAAAGATGTTGAAAGTGAATAGAACCTACATTACGAAAATCATCCAACTACATCACTAAGCAACCGCTAACTTGGAATCCTGAAGTGAAATGGAGGGTCGAACAACACACTGTGCCAAACATGTGAAAGATGAATAGTAACTGGAAAGGATTGTTCAGGAGAGAATGGAATGTAGAATGTTGATAAATGGCCTATTCTCCCCCTATGAGAGGTAATAGCTATAAGTAAGTATTGTATTATATTTTATTGGATAAATGAATGAAAATAATAATAATAACAGACAGGAAAAGAAATCGTTTTTTTAAAAAAAAAATTAATTAAACTTTCATGTCACATTGTTCCTGAAATGTTGACAAAACGACGACAACAACAACAATAAAACAACAACAACAAACAAAAAAAATAAAATATGCGCATATGATCAATCTTTTTATTATTAACCAATCATATTCAAGTATTTAACTTAATTCTAATTGGTTAATGCAAGGTCAAGATTTTCCTATCCTTATTTATAATTTAACTCTGTTCAAGGTCATAACCAACAACACAAAAAAAGGCGTGAACTTTTAAAATTTTATTCAATCTTTTCATTATCACATTTATCATCCATATGAGTTACGTATAATATTTTAAAGGAATATGTATAAGATAGATACAAATAGATGCGCATAGATACTACTGAATTGAATCGATTTTGCACTATTCTCTTCTCATTTTTTCTTCTTTTGATTATTAGATAATAGATGAAAACATTTACACATAGAAACGTATAAACTATTACTTGAATGAATCATGTGGATTATGAATATATTTTGTCAATCACCTGTCTATAATACAATTTATCATGATTTATTCATTATTATATTATATACATTGTTATTTAATTGTATTCATGCTACCATAGATGATTCACATATATTAAATGATAAATCCTATTCCGATATAAATTGGGAAAATGATTATAAAAGATCCCATTTATGGTCTCCTAAAACACCATTAAATGTATGGCCTGATTTTAAATTAATACAACAATGTGATACATTAAATTTTAATACATTACAATTTCATTTTAATCAATCCATTAATGATAATGATGTATTTGAATGGACTAGTATTAGTTTATTTAATTCGAATCGATTAAAACGTGGTTATATATTACTTGGTGGATCTTATAAACATCAATCATTTAATAATAATAATAATAAGGATAATGTATCCCCTAGATATAATAGTCAAATGATTTTATGTTATTTAAATTGGAAATCTGATTATGAAACATTATTAGGTTTTGGTTTTAATACAAATTCATGTATACCATTATTACAATCAAATTTAATGAATAGTAATAATAATCATGAATATCTTGGTGCAACAAGTCAATCATTAAAAATTACACAAGATTTAAGTGTATTTATTTATTGTGATCCATTATGGAGAGCTAATTCATTAGTACCAATTGGTAGATGTTTTTTACATCTTATTAATAATGGAGTTATTCAATCTAATATAGAATTAGCTGAATTTTGTCAAACTAATTTAAAAGTATTTACACCATGTGCTGCTGGTCATAGTATTGCATTAACATATAATAATAATAATGATAATGATAATAATCATGATCAATTATCTAAATCAATAAATGATCTATTATCAAATATTCAATTATGGATTGGTCAACCATTATCAACACCATATGGACGTATACAAATATTAACTAATTTATATAATACAATTAAAGTAACAACAATCAATAGACCAGAATCAAATGAATATAGAACAATTGGTTCATTATTTGGTTATGCATTAACTGATGGTTTTGTTACAGCACCAGGATTATTTACATATGATCAATATCATAATAATACTACTCATACAAATATTAATCATTTATTTGGTATACATTATACTAAATCTTATAGAGATAATATTAATGGATATTATGATCATATTGATTGGTATCCAGAAATTAATGATACTAATCCATTCAATGGTAATGGTATCTCTGTATTACGTGTTAATATAAAAGGACCCTATCTTAAAACTGTTATTATTGGTGCACCATATACTAAAAATATTAATATTAATAATAATAATAATAATACTAAAATAGATCCTATACAATTAACTAATTATAATATTGGTAGAATTTATTTATTATGTCAATTAGATTCTTATAAAACATCAACTACAATCATAGATTATTTAGATGGTCCATATAATTCAAGACATTTTGGATTTTCATTAACAAATCTTGGTGATTATGATGGTGATGGTAATGATGATATTGCAGTTGGTGCACCATATTTAAAAAATAATATTTCTTCTTTTAGTTATATTTATTTTATACGTTTATTATCTAATTGTAAATTTGATAGAATACCATTAAATATATTAAAAAGTCCACAATATGCTTATGATTATGGTGCTTATTTACCAAATTATGCTGAAGATTTAGATTTTAATGGTAATAATGATTTAGTTGTACCAATTTCATCTTTTATTAAACAAAATATATTATCTAATCAATCAATATTAATTTATGCAACACGTGATCAATGGATTGCTGATTGTCATTATTTATTTCCACCATGGTTAACTATAAGAAATTTATTAAAAAATGATATTATACCAATACAAATTATTATTTATTTTAATCATTTTAAATATCGATTATTGAAATCTAATCAAATCAATAAAAAATTAATTTCATCATTACAATTAAATCAATTAATTCATCAAATTAATCCTGATTGGAATATAACAAATATTAATGAACAACGTTTTCATTTAATGAATAATTCAATTCAATCATTAATAGAATTAAAACAAAATCAATTAATTATTAATTTTAATATACAAGCTAAAATTAATATTGAAGAAATTTATAATTTAGAATCAATAAATCATGGTATTTATATTGGTTATCGATTTTTACAATTATGTTATTCTAATCAGAATGTAATTAATCATAATGGTATTTGTTTAAATGGAAGTTGGTTAAAACGTCCATATATAGATTGGTCAAAATGTATAAGTAAATTACCATTAACACGTTATATTTGTTATCCATATCCAATATGTCAAAGTGATCTTATATTATATGTAAAAGATATAAAATCAAATCAATTAATTAATTTTCCATTAAATAATAATAATAATAATAAATCAATAAATGAATTGAATCAAAATAATACAAATAATGAAATTATAATAATGAATATTGATATAGAATATGGAAATAAAAATAGTTCTAGACAACAAATACAAATTGAATTATATAATTTAGGACCAACTCAATCAAAAGGTACAAGAATGGAATTACAATTTCATGGAAATTTAAAATTTTCCCATCTTGAATTAGAAATTGATACTGTAAATATAAATGATAATAATAATAATATGACTAAACGTTATACAGAAATAATTATGGTTGATGTATCAGAAAATGAAACATGGGTAAATTGTCCTATTGGTACATTATTACCATTATCATTATCATCATCTATGAATGAAACAAATGAAATCATTCAACCAAATCAACGTTTTCTATTATCTACATATTATGATCAATTTATGTTAGATCAAGTAGATTTTCAATTAGGTGCTGGAATAACAATTCATATAATTAGTGGTACATTAGATCCTCAACCAATGAATAATATTGTACGTATTAATTATCATGTTATACATCGACCAAATATACGTATATCATATGGTCCTGGTAATATACCAAGTAAAATGGATAATCGTACAATACCATTAAATCAATTATTCAATCAAAAAAAACAACGTATTATTGTATCAGAAATTGGTCCAAAAGTTGAACATATAATACAAATTGAATATATGGGACCATCAAATCAATTAAAAAATGTTACTATGAATTTATTAGTACCAATTGAATTAGATACAATTAATAAAAATGATAATAAACCACAATATATATTATATATGTTTAATGAAATACGTTCATTATTAAATAATAATAATAATAATAATAATAACAATATCCTTGAATGGATGGATTCACGACCTAAAATCTATTCTATGAGTAAACATTATAATAATGATACAAATGATTATGATGATATCAGTAAAGTTGGTAGTTGTATGATAGTCAATAGTGAAAAAGTAGTGAATCCACGTGAATTCATTCCAATGGATGTGAATACAAGTAAGTAATTAGGTTTATTCATCTATTCATCTATATTGTATATATATTGAATTGTCTTCTTTTGTCTTAACAAGTGGTATGACCTTGTTGTACGGTGCTAAATATATAAAACATTGTTGCTTCTCAATGAATCATACTGTTACTTACTTACTTACTTACTTACTTACTTACTTACTTACTTACTTACTCACTTACTTACTTACTTACTTACTTACTTACTTACTTACTTACTTACTTACTTACTTACTTACTTACTTACTTACTTACTTACTTACTTACTTACTTATCTTAGAAAATGATGAAATAACGACTACAGTTGTCCATAATATCTTCGATCCTTAGTAGAAATATGATATTTAGCAATTTCGGTCACTACTATGCTTAGGCTGCCCACCAGCATTCTCTGTCGAGTTTTCTCCTGATTAATCCTTTGCAGTTTTTTTTCCTGCCGTTGCTCATTCTTTTCATGTTTGTTTTTAATTTCAGACTTAATTTGTTCCGTGGTCTTTCACTTTTTTCTTTTTCGTTCAGGATTCCAACGTCTTTTCATAATTTCCTCCTTAGCTGAAAAGATGTTTTTTTCCCTACTACAGGAGGTTTTCAATGATAGTATACTGCCAATGGACTAAATATGCAATAGAATTTTTCTCCTCAACCAGTCACAACACAAATTCTTCATTTTATAAAGCCTCATACATGAAGTTGTTTTGATGTAAGGGGAGAAAAATGACAGGCAAATGAATGCTTATTTATTTTTATGGTGATCATTAAGTTAGATTATTCAGAGTTTTAAATGTCTTTAACTGAATTGAACTTATCGATGTAGCCAACTGAATAATCATTACAATAGCTGAGATCATGAGTCATTTGAAATTATACCATCATGGGAAAGCTGGATCTCAACTATTGAAATTACTATAATATCCACAAAAAACCCTTCTGAATTATCATTGTTGTAAAGTGAAAATATTACTTAGGCCTGTTACTGCCAATGAAACATAGGCTGCCGACAAGCATTCTCCGACCCACTCTGTCCTAGACCTTTCTAGTTCTATTCAATTGTTGTTTATTCTTCCCATGTCTGTTTCCATTTCTGGTGTAATGTGTTGTTTGGTCTTCCTTTTTTTCCTTCGACCTTGAGGATTCCATGTGAGGACTTGCATTATGACACAGTTGGGTGCTTTCCTCAATGTGTGTCTTATCCACTTCCAGTGCTTCTTCCTGACTTATTCCTCCTCTGGTTTGTTTTCACCCATAGTAATTTGTTGCTTATAGTATCTGGCTAACGGATCCGAAGTATTTTACGTAGACAACTGTTAATAAACAGCTGTATCTTCTGGATGATGGTTTTCACAGTTCTCCAAGTTTCCGTTCCATGTAGTAGAACTGTTTTGATATTTGTATTGAAAACACTAACCAGAGAAAAATTATTTAAAATTATTCAAAGTGTAAATATAACAATCCATAATGATAACTAAGTAATTGATTTATATCTCTAATTCTATCATTAAAAGCTAATAACCTACCAGATATACAATCTTTAGAAATTCAGTGTAGGTATTAATGTATTATCAATTCTTCCTTTAAACTATATAACTTCAATTCATTATGGTGAATATAAATGTGAATATAAACACATATGACGTTTTATGGTATAGGAGTAGGTTGGAAGAAAGCTAGGGGCGGCCAGACCAAAACATGGTACAAATCCATGAAGTCATTGACAAGTGAACTAAGTCATGTTGGTAGGTGTGAACTACCTGGTTGAAATCCGTGAGATGATAGCAACCGATGGTTAGAGACCTTGAATGACATAGCTCAACATCGTTTACAATGACGCAGGTTCATCCACTATTTATGTTTCCCCAAATTTTAATCTTCTGAATTCTTCACGTCCCTTTCTTTTTTCTCTTTCCAAATTTATTTCACTGGATTATATTCTTTGAATAACATCTTAAAATCCTAATCTTTACGATCACTACTTATACTTTTACTACCTCTACCATTATGGGATTTGAATCGACAATTGTATCTCTGTCCAAATGTGGTATGGCAACTCGAACTGATGTATGTACGTACGTACGAAGTTCTGTGTAGTCACTGGCTGACTGAGATTAGATAACCATTTTACTATTTTGTAAATTTTAAAACGAGGTGTAAAATTGTAAACAATGATGGATAGTGGCTAGCAGTGGAATCTGGGACACACTATCTATCTTTGCTTATAATGCTTATGAATTAAAGCAATATCGAATCAGTACGCACAGCACGCACATATGCCAATAAGAGATTGATCAATTGAAGTCCTAAATATCAATGGGAAGATTCTAGTAAGTAATACCAGGTGAATTTAAGGCTGGAAATTGTTATGTAAAATGATTTCAAGTAGATTTTATCTGACTTTAATATAGTCTTAAATAAAAATTGATATCAGTTACAAAAATCTTTATTCCTTGTTTAATTTATCCATCACATATGCCTTTCTGTGTGTTGACACCATTAATAATGTTGAATACACATTGATTATATCCACATGTCCTATGTTCTATCCTAAGCCCAAATATCCTTGTTTTGATCCCTCTATATGTCATGAGTATTCATTATTAAAAATGGGTTTATCCTTGAATGCGATAAATATCTAATGTTCTAAAGCTTTAAAGGGTTATCTATCCCAAAGTTATTGTTTAATATAAACAGTCTTCTTATTGCTGTAGGTTAATTTAATCTAACACTAATTTTTAATAGTTGAGATAATGTGTCAATTGAAGGTAGGCCACCATGGAAAACCTAGAAGCCAGCTCAATGGTTTAGACGTTAAGCTTTCGTGCATGAGACCGACAGATCCTGAGTTCGAATCTCGCGATACGGGATCGTGGATACGCACTACTGATGAGTCCTATAATAGGACAAAACGGCCATTCAATGCTTTCAGGTTTTCCATGGTGGTCTAGCTTCAATTGAGTTATGATATCGACTATTAAACTTGTAATTCAGTAATAAATATTAAGTATATTCAATATTAAATTATAGTAAAAAAAAAGAACTTTTATGCATTCATCGACCCTTCTAATAAATGAATATCATCTGCCATAAAGGGTTTTGTGGAGATTTTAGTCATTTCAATAGTTAAAATCATCAGTCAATTCAATTTAGACATTAACACCGCTGGATGCCGGCCGGCTCAGTGGTCTAGGAGTTAAGCGTTCGCACACGATGTCCTGGGTTTCGAAACTCACGGGAGTCGGGATTAAGGGTGAGCACTACTGAGGAGTTTCATACGGGGATGAAACGACTGTCCATTGCTTCCAAGTTTTCCATGATGATCTATCTTCAATTGACTCATGATTTCAACTATTGAATATCATCTACATTAATGAAGTGTATGTCTTATCTCTTCATATGTTATTCAATTTATGTGTAAATGAATGAATGAGTGATTAGGCAAGAGAACAAACGAAACAATGAATTAATATAGATAACAAAGAATGGATAAGAAAATGTGATTGTTCTTTCTTCACTAGTTTATTTTTCTATCTGATAGTTTCGTATGTTTATTTTCCGGACTTGACTATTGAAAAAAAAAGAAAATTTTCTGAAGGGAAGAAAATCGATTTCATTTACATTTATTGATTATGTTCATGCTGATTATTATTATTATCAGTAGTCATGGTAGTAGTAGTGGTAGTGGTAGTAGTAGTAGTACTAGTTAATATACATGAATGCTTTGTCTAGTATTGATGTAACATGTATCTAAAGATAAGCAAATCAATTAGTTAAACAATTGGTTTGGTATGAATTAGATGAATGAACTTCTTTGTTCCATAAATTCACTTTCACAGAAAGTAGTTGTTTGTTCGACTTTGTTTTTAAAATTTAGAATTGTTTCATAACATGTAGCATGTGTTTAATCAATGTATTGTAATGAATTGATATATTGTAGAATGAGTGAAATTAAAATTCAGTGGGATCGTGGATGCATACTGTTGAAGAGTCTCACATTAGGACGAAACGGTCGTCCAGTTCTCTTAGGTTTTCCATGGTGATCTAGCTTCAAATGATTCATGATTTCAACTATTAACATTACTAAAATTTCCACAATACCTCTTTTAATATTTTTATACTTAACAACTTATCTTTTCTATAAATGAGTTTTGAAAAGAAATACATGACCATTGAGTTAATTTACAAGTGTATATACGAGACTCCACTATGCCTTATTTTACTATAGTAGAAAGATAATAAGGAAACTTTTTTCTGTCAGTGTTATTTTAATGAACAAGATTGTTTATCTTATGAAAGTGACGACAACAGTTGGAATATAACAGTAGCTTAACTCAGATTTATGCTGTTGATTCTATGAGACTATCATTAAATTACCTCTTTGATGTTACTTACTTACTTAATTACGCCTGTTACTCCTTGTAAAGGAGTATAGGCCACTCACCAGAATTCTCTATCCAACCCTGTCCTGGGCAATCCTTTCCAACTCTTTCCAGTTGTTATTCATCCTTTTCATATCTGCTTCTATTTCCCGACGTATTATGTTCGTTGGCCTTCCTCTCTTTGATGTAGAAAATTATAAAAACAATTTCTAAAGACCCTCTATGTCATTCAATTACTAACCATTGTATTTTTCTTTGATCTCACATTCACTGGCGAATAAGTTAGAACTTGATAATAATGTCATATTCTCACTAGTCATCAACTTCAAGAACCAGATCTAGAGATAAACACTGATTGATGTAGTTCACTCGTTGTCAGGAATAAGACAATCAATATTGATGACATAAACTAATCATTGTACCATATCACATATTAACTGAAGTTTGGTGCCAATTCAATAATCTAAATGTAAGGAGTTGAAGCCTAAACTTTTTGTAATCAATTGCCAACAAAGTTTGGGATGATTATTACTAAATAGTAGTACATAAGAAAGAGACGGTTGTAAATGTTCTCCGATTTCTCCTGTTTGCTTATTGAAAAGTAGACTATAACTTAAA